TAATATGTGTACTTATAAATGCATATATAATATAGAGGATAAATATATTATAGAATAGAAAATAAAAACATTATATATTAACAAGAGGCCCGATGCATAAAATTCATGCAAGAGTAGGCCTTCCTTCCCCTGGTTGCTGGCACTGGTTTCTTTCTGGCACCTGGGACCTGGGCTTCCCTCTAGCTGCTGGCAGGCAACTCAGACTCACACTTCCTTCACACTCCCGCTTCATCCAGGTCATCTGAAAGGATGTCTGGTCTAATTACCATATTATGCTTTTATTATTCTAGATTATTATAGATATACATACTTACATATACACTTTCTACATATATTGGAACTATACTATGAATACTTTGTTACATATAACAGGTTATATAGAAAAATAGGTTTACTAAGCTTACTGTTTGTAATCTGTCTCTTTTTACTAGAAAATAAGCTCTAAGAGGGAAAGAAGCACCTATTTTGTTTAGTATCACACACACCACAATTAGAGACCGGAACCTGGTGCATCCTCAATAAAGTGCGTTGCTAACTGAAACATGGTCATTAAGAAAGAACATATGTTATGCTAATCTTAGATGATAACACTGTCAAGCAGTTTGAGTAATATCTTAATTATTGACATAAAATAGCATCTCAAAATATTGTTGACATTTATAAAAGTGACAACTTGTCATATTGAACTATGTGCTGCAAGTATAAGTGGACTTCAGAGGCAACTGAAATATCTTTTTATCAACTTACTACCTACAAATGACTGAGAGTAGCAAAAAAAAAAATGAGAAAAACTATGTTGGTGTATAGACAAGTCATTTCCACATTAACAGAATTAGACATGTGGGCTCTGCTCAGGGGCCAAGAACACAGGCTTAAGGCTTAAATATATCAATTTATAAATTAAAAAATATTAGCTCATATATTTTATGATTATTTAATACTTATTTTTGAAATTTTATCTAGTTAGTTTTTATAGAATTTATTTTGGTGTATGGTAGAGTGTATTAATTCTCAAAATAACAATACATCAATACAATTTAGTAAATACTAAGACATTTTCCTATAATTCAAATCCTTTTTTACTTTATTTTATATTTATCATGTATATCTGGACTTTTTATTCTATTTACTTTTATATGCATCTCCTGTAATAATAACATATTATTTTATTACAAGTTATTTTAATATGTTGCATAAACATAGAAGTTCTTTTATTACCTTATTATGAAATCTATTCACTATTCCCCATTATTCTCTCACGATTTAAAATGACTTGATTAAGTTCTAAATATTATTCCATTTTAACTTGTTTGAAATTGCTTTATACTTTTCAGATATGGTGTTCATGTAGTATTAAGGGCTTAAAAGTCTGAGATCTCAAATAAGGACATCTTAACTCCATTTATATAATTTTATGGCTATGCAATAAACTTTACCTTTCAAACTCTGCTCTGTATAGTTTTAAGCAATAGTTTTTTTGATAATTAATGAAATTTCTCATTAGATTTCCAAAATAGTATGTAAGAAATATGTGCACATGTGCAGATAAGGCATTTTGACTTTATCAGTTTAATGACACTACCTCTTCTGTTTCAACTTTAAGAATGGTATTGAATTTTTTTGTGATCTATTTATATTTTTTTGTGTTTGGAATATATAAATACTAGAAAATATGAAGATAATATATATCCTTATGATAAAAAGAAAAGAAAAAAATATTCTCAGTAAACAATAAATTGTCAATGTCTTTTTACATAATACGGTAAATTTTATCATCAAATGTCTTAATTTGACTCATCTTTTAATTCCTGGATAAAGTAATCCTTTCTTATTTATTAGTATTTTACTAATATTATATTGGATATTTTAATTTAGAATTTTATGAATATGAATGGGATAAATGAAACCCTCTTTTTAATTCTGTGCAGTTTTTGTCATCCATTACTAATTGAGAATATTTGGGGTAGGAAGCCTTGGTTGCTATTATATTCTTCCCAAAAGTTAGTAGAAAAAAAGAGAGTCATATCACTATAAGTGTCTTTTCTTTTTTCTCTTAAACTTCATTTATTTAGTAAGTTAAACCAAACCACAAAGGCTGGTTTGAATTAGATGATGACTGAGAAAGACAACTTTGGTCCAATTAACCAGCACTTCTACAGTTTAAAATTACGCAAAACTTTTAAGAAACATATTGATAGAGGTAACTCCGTGATGCCTCACTTTGGAGTGTCATTTTTTTTTTTTCTTCTCAACAACCTAGTGCATAGTGCAACCTGAGAAATCCACTAGAGCAAGGGAGCCCAGAATTATGAGCTTTCTACCTTTTATATTTTTTTAGTATGGAAGTAACATGTAGGGAGGAAATAATAGTACCCAATGGTCCACTTAAGAAGCCTACAGAGAAACTCTTCCTTTATCAGTTATCCACTTGTTCTATATTTTTCCAGTGTCATGGAACCTGATTAAGATTTTAACACTGTATAGACCATTCTACTGTGGCCTATCCCATCTTTATTTTTACATGAAGAGATTAGACCAGATGTGTTTTTAAAGATTAGTTCCAGCTACTGAATGGGTTTGGTGAATGGGAAACACCAGTAGGAGACCAGGAGACTAGAAGAAAGTAAGATTGGGTGTATATGCCTCATCTTTTCCTGGTTGGTTTGCCTTGGATGGCCTGTGACCTCTTCCTAAAAACCATGGCTTCTATAATCTGGCAGCTTTTCTCCTTAGGTTCTGCAGTTTGATAACTGCTTTTTATTTTGTACCTCTGGGCATTGAGGTAGTAATGACATTCTGCGGTTACTAGGCCCTTCAGAATTACAAAATCTCTCACTGTTTTCCTTAAATTATACCCATATCTTTGTAAATAATTTATTAAACTTTCCCCAAATGTTCAATTAGAGTATGCTAGCTATTCCTTGATTTGGCCTTGGCCAGCACAGTGGGTGAACATATTGGAAAGTGTCAACTTTTGCCTTGTAAATGATTATCATATCTCAAATAATTAGAGAAGCAAGCGAAGCTGGGAGAAGATGGGGAGAACTGGAATAGGTCAAAATCATCATCAAAGAATATTTGCAGTTGGGAGTTAGGGGATGAGAAAAATGGAACGTAACAATTTTGTTCATAAAGGGCAAGCCTAGAATTAATTTCTCTGTAAATAAAGAATTTGTGCCCTGATTATTTCTAAGGGGCTAATTGTATTAGAGTAGAAGGTATACTCGGCTTCATCTACCAAAAACCTTATATGTGACACAAGTGACGTAGAAGGCATTGCTGATGTGTCATACTAGTTATACAAAAATATTTCATTGTTTGAAAGTAGAAGAATACTTATTTAAATTTTTAATTTAACTAATAATGAAAATTTTAGAAATTTTGTAAAGAGAGGTGTGTGGGGAGGACTGCATGAAGTAAAATGAAGAGATTAGCTAACTCAAAGACAGAGACAACAATGTGTGGTGTCAGCCAGAGGAAGGGTAAGGCAAGGGCTGAGTGGAGGTGGGCAAAGAGGGAGAGGGGGCAGGACTGAGGACATTTGTAATAGTGTCAACAATAAATATAAAAATAAAATAAAATGACTGTATAAAATAAAAGTGATGAACATAAAGAAAAATAAAATCATATACTAAGTATACTGAATATAATTTGGTCTTTCATATTACTGAGATGCCAGACATAAAGTACACACCTAAACATTTACATGCATTTCCTCTAAAGCATAGACACACAAAATCAATTTTTCATTGAATGAAAAATAACTGTACTGCTACTATTACACTTGAAATTCTATGAGACCAAACTTCTTTAAATAATGAAAAAAATCTGTTAAATAAATACAATTCATTAAACTTGTTTTGCATGCTTTCCAATTTGATAGTAATTACAAAGTTATGGAAGACTAATGATGTTTAAAGTAAGAATATTTATCTAAGAAAAGTGGCTTTTCATTAATTCAAATTCACACATGGAATATTATCTTGTTTCAATGTTTATGTATTATTTTGTTAAGTAAAAGACATGAACTTAATATTCTGAGTTATATTCATGAAGGCATCACAGCTTTGCAGTAAGAAATTGTTGGGAGCTAGCAGAGTTGAGGCAAGCAACTCAGTCTTAAGGAAATAGAATTAAGTTCCTTCTAGCAGAGGTTGTGTGGTACCCTGAGGGCTTGGCCAGAAGATAAGATTAACCTGGGGTTTAGCATCTCCTGTCTTCCTGCCTCTTTCCCTTCCTGATCCTCCCCCCTAGATAGCCCAGCCTTGGAATGTTGCACCTTGAAATGTCACACTGCCTCTGGCAATTAGTCAATCCTGTGTTGCCATACCAAAGACCCCCCTGCATGGGCGGCCCTGCCCCCCTTTGTCTCTGCTGTATAAATACAGCCATTTCAGAGAATAAAACTGAGGCTTGATCAGAACCTTGTCTTGCCTCCACTCTTTCCGCATTCCTTGTTTGATTCATTCTCTTAGGTGGTTTCTGCGTGCCCCCCGTTGTTGTCCCGCGGGTCGGGACAAGAAATGATAAACCACACCATTAAGGATGGGGAAAACCCAACCAAGTTCCCTTAATTTCTTGATCTTTCCCATTAAAGAAAAAAAAAAGAAAATACCAGTACTGGAGAAAAAGCTAGGAAATATGTTACACTGTGTTCAATCTGAAAAAGAAGCTATTTCAAGAAATGAGAATAATAAAGTTATTCCTAAACTTTGAAAGATCCATTGTAATGAATTGAACTAGTTCAGTTTCTGATTGCTTGCCAGCAGTAGAGCCGTCTCCCACAAACTCGCCTATTGATCCTGTAGCCTTTGTGGCAGTGCATAAAGAATAACCATCTGTGTCAGGTACAACAGCAGGTGCCTTCTGCATTGACTGGCTGCTGCCCTGATTACAAAGAAGTTGTTTAGGGCACCTGGTGACTACAGCAGGCTCTTTTCTTTCCAGTAGAAAAGAAACTCATTTCTAAAAGTTTATTGAATTGGAGCCGAGAAACTCACCAGAAATCATCAGCTGAGGAGGTGCTGGAATGGACTCCAATGAAGACAAAGTAAGAGATGTAGTGATGGGAAGCCACTGGCCTGCGGCCTTAGGTTCTCGATTGTGCACACGAGGCTGAAGTTCCCATGTGGGCCATTCTGAAGAAGTTCTGAACTCTTTTTTAAAATCAGATGTTAACGGCAGTTTATCTGTATAATATGTCCAATGTGGCACAAATACAGACTTGGGGAAAGAGGTCTGTATTGGAAGTGATTGAGTTGGTGGAATGGTGTGCAATGCAGAAGTAGAGGTTGTTTTTGAAATATTAGACATTGAGTCTACAGGCAGTGAAGGGTTGTATTTGAGGTCATTTGAATACACAGTTTCTAGATAACTTTGTAAATTTAGTTTAAAATCTTTATGAATGGTGAGCTGTTCTTGAGATCCTTTACTCTCTTGCATGCCCAATAAATTGTCTTGATTCAGTATCTCAGTGGGACCTGCAGTGATACCATATTGTCCTAGTTTCAATCTTTTAAAAATGTTTCTTGATACTAACAAATCATCAGTAGTCAATTTTGAAGTCAAATCAGGATTCATCAAATCAGAAGAGACAGTTTGTGAAGGGATGGTGGGTAAACAAGTTTTATCCAAACATAAATTAACATCCAAATTACTTTATAGGGTAATGGATTCCTCCAAGGATGAGGATAAAATTATTCCTTTTGTACTCTTTTTAGAAGGAAATAAAGATGACAGTTCTGTGAATGCTGGTGATGGCATTGTTTCAATAGCAGAAGAAAACAAATGCCCAGAAGTGATAGTTTGAGTTCCCATTAGTGCATACCAGCTGGCTAATCTCTCTGAGTTCATCCCGAACGTCTCATAAAAATGGGACTGTTCTATATGCGGAACTTGATCTGAGAATTTATGAGAGGATTTTATTTCAGTCATAGAACATGTTGCACATGTCTGGCTTAATTCACTTAAGGAATCAGCAGTCTGTGATTTGGTGTTTGTGAGTCTCTGGTTGCTAGATGCTTCAGAACTAATCTGATATTCACTGGGAATGGAGGCTTGTGTAGTGAATCCGGGCAGAGTTGATGAGTTTAAGATGGCTACCTGTTTAGATATAATTATCTTAGCAGGAGAAATGGGAGACATTGAGGAGCTCAGCAATCTCCAGTGCTCTCTTCTTGAAATTAAGGTTAACAGCTGAATATTCTTCAGTATCCTCTTGAGCCCCCCTAGAAACAATTGGAGGTGTGCTAGTGGAAGCAGTTGTGAGCGGGAATTGAGGGGAAAGAAATGAGTGCCTGTTTAATTCAGTATAGGCCCCTGGAATGCCACTAATTACTGAACTCACTGTGGCAGCAGATTCGGCAATAGCCCGAACACTGTCAAGTAATACAGACTGCTAGGAGAAATAAAATCTGTCATTAAGGAAGAGATGATAAAGGAGGTCCTCTCTCTTCTATTGAAGAATATGAATCCTGGTGTGACAGCTGAAGTTTGGATAGGCACATGTGAGACAGATGTTGTGCTCTGGATAATTTGTGTTGTGTCATGATCATCAAAATTCAGAAACTGAGGTGAGGATACATGTGTGGAAGAAGTGAGAGTGTGTTTTGTTGAAAGTTGCCTAGCTCTTCCAGTAAATAGCTTTCAAGGGATATGCCAATGCTTAATGCTGACAAACCAGTGGTTGAGAGAACGGCATACTTGAAAATGCTTGTCTCTTTTAAACCTTCAGAGGAGAAAAAGGCAACTTAAAAATAAAAAATAAAAAAATGAATTGAAAATGAACAGCTTTGGCCCTGGGCTGACTCTTCTGCAAATTACACTGCCATCTCACACCCATTATATGTAGATAAATATGGCTCTATAAATCATACGGCATATAAAAGTGTATGAGAAAGTTTAGTGACTACACAAAGTACATAAATGCAAGAACTTCTGTTATTCACACTCCATGAGAGGGCCACACCAACAAATGGTGTCAGGCAGAATAGCCATATTTTAAACTAAGTGACCCCTTTGAATTACAAAACATTAAAATTTACAATTTTTTGTCCTTGATAGGATCAATGACTATTACTATTTGACCTATTGGGTTATGGATATCAGAAAATATAATTTTACTTTCTAAATTGGTAAAATATTCTGTATATTAGATCACATTATATTTTAATTATTTAAAGTATCAGAAACTTATAGAGACAAAAAATAATAGGGTCTACCTTTCTGCCCTTAATATAACCCTTTAAAAATATTTTCTTTAAATAATGAATATCCTCTTAAGGGTTATAATTCTTAAAACAAACTTCAACATTAGCTATTATTAATCAACAACAGCAACAACAACAAAAAACTTCAAACAGGATACATAACCAACAAGAATTCTAAGACAATTTTACGCTCTTGATTTATCACATTATCAGAAAAATTGAAATAGATCAAAAAATAAGTTTCAAGATACAACTTTTTCAGAAACAAACGTCTTTATATCTTACTCTCATCTACTCACCTTGATCAACTGAGTAAGTATTCATTACAGTCCATAGTCTTATAGCCCTTGGATATGGGAAACTGCTAACTAAAGCCTCAGAAATAGGCACTGTATATATCTGAGTAGGAATCTCATCTGTTCTTGGGAGAGGAAGGAAGTAAACAGATAATTCTCCTTATTTCATCACCACTAAGAAGCCCGATGGAGTAGGTCTTCAAATAATAATTGCATTAATTAAAATCAGAGATTATGTTATCCCTAAGTGAGAACTTCTAAAGTTTGTTTTGTGGTTCTTTACACTGTCATTGTCATATTAAATAGCTCAAAGCATAGCCTTATTTTGTTTGAAAATAAAAATCTCTCTAGTAAATTTTACCTATAGTTCAAAATCAATCCAGTCTTTCAAATTTTAGATGTGCTCAATTGAAAGGATAAATTTGTTCTTAATTCCTGTAAGTAAAAGCACTACATTTGTCTTGAGGATATTTTTTCCAAAGAAAAATTTGTACTCTATGGGAGTCAATATAGATATAATGGCTCCATTAAAAATTATAAACTTTTCAGCCCTGGCTGGATAGTTCAGTTGACTGGAGCATGGTTCCATACACCAAAAGGTTGTTTTGATTCCAGGTCAGGGCATGTGCCAGGTTGCAAGCTTAATCCCCAGGAGGATGCGAGCAGGAGGTAGCCCAATCAATTATTTTCTTTTATCATTGATGTTTCTAGCTCTCTCTCCCTCTTCGTTCCTCTTTGAAATTAATAAAAAAATTTTAAAAATTATAAACTTTTCTGTTCTGAATGTCATTTATTTTAAATATAAAAATCAGTATCTACAGTTCATCTACACAATGGAATACTATGCTGCAGTAAAAAAAAGGAATTATTTCTGTTTGCAACAGCATGGATGGAACTGGAAAGCATTTTCATAAGCAAAATAAACCAGTGAGAGAAAGATAAATATCACATGATCTCATTCATTTATGGAATATAATGAACAACATAAAATGATGAACAAAAACAGATCCAGAGACAGAGAAGCATTGATCAGACCATCAAGGGAAGGTAGGGGAGGGTAGCGGTAAGAGGGAGAGATCAACCAAAGGACTTGTATGCATACATATAAGCCTAACCAATGGACAGAGACACCAGGGGTGTGAAGGCATGATTAGGGGGTTTGGGGGTTATGGGTGAATAAGAACGCATGTTTAATACCTTAATCAATAAATAACAATTATATTAAAAATGAACAAGAAAAAAAAAAACACATTTTCTTGTGACATTTGAAGCATATTAATGTATATGGGTTTACAAGCAATGATCCTTATATGTTTTAGTTTGATACAAATAGCTTATTTCAGCCATTTCACTTATGAAATAATTTCTACATAAAGAAATTGATTTTAGCTCATAAGAAAGAGAATTGTGATTTATGCATAAATAAGTGAAAATGATCAGGAGATTTCCTTTAAATCAGTAGTTCTCAACCTTTCGAATGCCAGGACCCATTAATACAGTTCTTCATGTTGTGGTGACCATCAACCATAGAATTATTTTTGTTGCTAATTCATAAGTATAATTTTGCTACTGTTAGTGAATTGTAAATATCTGGGGGGTTTTTCTGATCGTCTTAGGTGACCCTGCTAGGGTTCTGAATTTGTGGGTCATGACCCATAGGTTGAGAACTGCTGCTGTAGAGCCTAAGATCATCAGAAAACACAGATATTTACATTACGATTCATTAACAGTAGCAAAATTATAGTTGTGAAGTAGCAATGAAAATAATTTTATGATTGGGGGTCACCACAACATGAACTATATTTAAAGGGTTGCAGCATTAGAAATGTTGAGAACAACTGCTTTAACTGAAGAGTTAAAATTAGGTATACTATTTGAAGTATTTTAAACTTTAAAAATATACAGTTGAAATATTTTTAAATACAAATACATTCCTGTTTCCTAACTCTAAAGGTATATTCAATAGTTATCTGGCTTCACTGTTCTAGTATTTGTTCAATTTTGTATCTAATTTGCACAAAATGAAAATTTTGCTTTAGATATATCCTTTTTCCTTTTTGTTTCAGTTAAATATTCTGTATTTACTTTCAAATCACTCCTGAAAGTATTTATGAAATTCATAGGATTCTTAATTTTATATAGTTTAAAAATTTAACATGTAGAAAATAGTAAATAAGTGAAGGTAATAGAAGAAACAGAAAAAAAAAGATATATATAATGATTTCAAACTTTAAAGACCAAGAGATTTATCCTTTTCACCATTCCATGGTAAGTAGCAAGCCCGGAAAGATGAGAGATTAATGAAAACACGCATGAAAGTAGGATAGAGACCAGAATGTCAATATACTAGGTTATAGTGAAAATGTAGCTGTTATACAGCTCATATTTTTATGCTATGGTCAGCATTTTCCTATTGAATCACAATCAGAAGCTGTTATTAACTACCTTGACAAATCCCTACAAGAGGGTTAATGAAGCCACAAAGTCCTCATGATCAACAAGTTCTGTGTGTTAACATAGCTACACAGAAATCACAGGTTTCCCCAGCACGCATTAGACTAGAACATGTAAAACTAAGTTTTTTGAATGCTTAATGACACTGGGCTAAGATATTGCCATAAGAATGATATGGAATACTTGTACACCGATTAAAACTATCTATCCTTACACAACTTTGCATTGACAGTGCCTGGGAGAAGCCATCCACTGTCAACATTATCAAGAGAGTACATCAAGGAACTAGGAAGGCTGATGAACCTTGAGCTTTAGCAGGGCTAAAAGCTATGCACTGCTTGTTCTGTGTTGAGATAACGATGGCTCGAAGCAATTTTCTAACCTAATAGTCTCAAAGTAAATCTTTACTGATCTTTTTACTGACCTTTGAGACAGTCTGTCTGCTACCAGTTTGCCGTGCTTAACTAAGGGCAAAGATGTCTATCTAGAATTGAATAAAAGCGAACAGGTCCAGGGCTTCAGAGCGCTTCACCACTAGAGGGAGTTTTCCGCCTGGCACCCATGCCTTCTAAATTCATATTTCTTGTCTAGTGTTTTCATTTGTGTGCGGCCCCATCTTCAGATCCTGAATCCTTGCTGCAAATGGATGTGGCAGGTGCCAACATTTGTCTCTATGCTTATAATATGTTCTCTAATAGGGTCAACTACTATATCATTGGGTATGTTAATGCACTCATTCTTCCGGGTGGTAATTAAAATAGGAAGCCATATTTTCTCTTTCCTATGTTGCATGCCTAAGTTCACATCCACAATAAGCTGTCCTTAGAGTTTAATTTTCAAAGGTGAATTTATTTACCTACTTTTGAACTTGATAAAAAATATATTTTTATACTACCAAATATTAGCAACTCAAATAATATATATATTTGTCTTGGCATATATACAGGGGTGGGCAAAAGTAGGTTTACATAATACAGTCAATAATAAATAATATGAGAATAAACTGTTTTGCATACTCATAATTAAAACCCAACTTTTATGGACCCTTATATATACATATGGGATGGGCAAAAATAGGTTTAAAATAGCCCATATTCAGGTTATTATTATAATGTATTATTAATTTAAAAGAATGTCATTCAAGCTGACAACTGTAAATCTGCTTTTGCCCACCTGTGTGTATATATACATATGTTTACTTGTGTATGTGTGTATATATATATATACAATTTATTCTAGACAAACTTTTGTATTTTCCTTTAGTTAAGTCCCCAAATGCATGGCAAAGCTTACTACCTGTTCAATGATCCTATTTCCTCTTCCTCTTGGATTATATATCTCAGTTGCTCTTGTGTGGCCATGTGACATACTTCTAACCAATAAAATGTGACTAGTCATGAAATTTGCCATTTTCTAATTGATCCAAAAGAACCTGCTATTGTGTGGACCTCCAGTCTCCTTCTCTATGTGGTAACCCCCTGAAAGCACATGGCTAAGATAGGGAAGCCACAGAAGGAAGTACCTTAAATCTATAAATGAAGAATATCTGAAATCAGAAATACTCGCACTTCATGTGAATAAAAATATATTATATTAATCTAGGGGTTAAAAATAAATATAAATAAAATTTAGAAGTTATTATAGCAATTAGTATTACCCTACTAAGATATCACTTTGTCTCACGTGTTCTTTCTGATATCATTTGCTACAAGAAAATTAAATCAAAACACCTCATAAATGGTTGGACATTTCTTTTTAAATAACTGCTTGATAACACAGAAGGATGTTGACATTTCAAATATTTAGCTTTGCTTTTGTTTAAAAAACACTTAGTTTTACATATTGCTTTCTTAACTTGGGTTTATCAATTTACTTATTTTACCAATACATCTCTCATTCACTTATCTGTCAAATATATATTAAATGCCTACCCTGAGTAGCATAATGACTTACTAATACTTATTAAAACTTAATATGTGCCAAGATGATTATGGTCACTTCTACCAAACTTGATACCTTTAAAAAAAAAATTTTCCCAAATCTATATTTTAGGAAAATAATACAACTAAAGTCTTTCAAATCAGAACTAATGAGAATATGATCATTTACTTTTCCATGGACATTTTGTAGCCCTCTCTCTCTTCACTCAACAAATATTTATTACTAAACGTCTAAGTGTCAATGACTATTGTTAAATGCTGGGAATAAACTAGTCAACAAAATAGACAAGTTTCCATTATCACAAAGCTTGCATTTTATTAAAGGATTCATAGTTTATTAATTAATAACAATTAGTAATAAATGGTTTATAGACACAATTTTGCAAGATAAATAATAAGTGAAAACAGGGAAGGCTATTTGGGAAGTGGGGAGGGAAGTCTTTTCTGATCAAGAATTCAAATTGATCCTAATACATGAGGAAGGAGCATTCAAAGAAAACAAAATATTAGTGTAAAGGCCCTGATGCAGGAACATGTTTTGCATGTTTGATCAACAGCAAGATGGCAGTGTTGATAAAGAGAATAAGGGCAGGTCATGAGTGGATTGAAGTGAGGTAATAGACATGGCCCAAGACAAGATCTTTTAGAAGTGTTTGCTTATTCATTTGTAGAATTTGGAATGAAGTCTGACAATGATGGGAAGACCTTGGAATATTTAATATTTAGAGTAGGAAAATTACATGGTTTATTTCTATTATGAAAATATTACATTAATGCTATGTAGATAATAGACTCTTGAGGCAGTATGGTGTGGAGGAAAGAATGGAAGCTGGAATACCAATTGGAAGCTAACAGCTGTCAAGGCAAGAGTTTAAAATAGATTGGCCTGGAATGAAAATGGAGAATACAGTGAGTAAAAGTTACTTTTGAGATCCATTTGTAAGGCAGAGTAGTGAGGGGTAGAGAGGGTGGGGAAGAAGTTTAAAAAATAATTCCTAGGTTTTTGTCTCTATCGATGAAGTGAGCAGTGTTACCACCTACTAATTTGAAGAACAGTGATGAAGACCAGATAGGATTCAGAAATAGATCAAGATTTCTGTTTAAACTCTTTAAATTTGAGAAGTTTAGGAACTAGTCAGATAGGTTTATAAAATAGAAAATTGAAAATATGAATCTCTCAAGAAACAGAATTACCCTTAAATTATTTCAACTAAGTAAGAAGTATGATTTAAATGAAACCAGTGTTATCCCATAGCCTTTTCACTAATCTGTAGTCATACAGCTGGAAAATGACAGAACCAGGATTTATATGTAGGCAATGAGGCTTCACAACCCACACTCATAATCAATATGCTATATTTTTGTTTTCTTTACATCTTTAACATTTGCTATAAACAGTTCTAGTCTATAGTTGATTATTTTATATACTAAAATTAAATGATTCTCCTATTTTAACAGCCCGTTTAACAAACATCACTATCAATTAAATTTAATGATCACTAACAATATGTTACAATCTGGACAAAACAGAGTCTATTATTGAAATGAATTCACAACACTGTGGATTAGTATTTTCATTTTATTGACAGAAATAGTTGAAAATGTAAATTTAACTGAATTTTCTACTTGAAATCATGTGTATGAAACATAGCTAAAAATAAATAAATAAATAAATCCCATGATCACTATCAGTGTCATAATCTAATTCTGTGGTTTAAGCTCCTTTCCTCAAAACTGGTAGGCCAAATGTACTCCATAAGTTTTACTAAATAACTGACAGCTGAATTTTTTCACACTATCAAAATATTTATTATTAATTTATTTACTGTGTCTATAAAACTTTTTGCATATCTTGTGGATTCCAGTACAAATAAAAATATGGACCCCCTTGTTGAAAAATTGTTAAATATTCAAGTCAGTGACAGCAGAATATTACACCTAGTTTGTGTGTCAGTATAGCGAGTGTCTGTTATGCAGGCAGAGTCTTATGCACTTCACAGGTCCTATACTGATGACATCAGTCTGCTTATGTATCCTATTTTGCCAGATTGTGTAACACTGGATTTACCTGCTTATAGTTTGATGCTGTTGCAAATTTGCTCGCTATTTCACTTCTTAAATGAAATACCATTTTGACAATTAGAAGAAACAGTTCAGATGATTGGTACTAAATTCACGACATGGTGTTCCTTGTAGAATTCTAAAGGAAACATTAGGCAAAGGAACCAAGATAAAGTAACCAAGCAAGTCAGTTTCTAAGTATAGGCTTAGTTACCCTATCAATCACAGTTCTTAGAAAAAAGAAACTCTTCCTAGGTTCCTAGCATAAACTTTCAATTTATGGTAATTGGAATTATCATGTTTCATTAGGAAAGGTTCATTAAACTAAAGTTCTCTGTAAATACTGTGGGTTTTGTTTTTTGTGTTTTTTTTTGCAAACTCTTACATTATTTACTTTCTAATTCTATAAAAATGTCACTACATAGATTTTACTACATAGAATTCTCAGGACACAATTTACAAATCACTGTTCAGTTATTAGACCAATAAGCAATAGTTTACATCTAGTAAGTATACTTTTTCTATAACCTTTGGTTAGATAAGGGTGGAAAATTACAAGGTGAAACTTTTTTCTCATGTCTACAGTAGGCAGAATTATAAAGTTTAAGAAAATGCTCAAGATTTCCTGCCCAACCCAAACCTTCACTCCCTCCCCTCCCACTCACCATTGTAGAGGCCCTGCATTACACATGATGTTTGCATCCCATGGTTAGGTTAAGTGATGTTCTGTGGAACAGTTGACCTTAAAAAGAAAAGAAAAAAAAAGAGATTGCATATAGTCCTTGAAAGAGTTTTCTCCGGATGTTCACAGAGGAGGAAGCCAGAGATTTAAAATATAAGGATTTGAGCCCTCCTGCCCATTTAAGGGGGGAAAAAAAATTGTGCTTTCTTGCTGGTTTAAAGATAAAAGGAGCCAAACAGCAAGACATTCAGGTGGCCTGTAGGAGTTGAGGGATTCAGACCTGCAACCAACCAAAGATAGTCACTGAGCTGAATTCTGCCAATGACAGGAATGAGTGTGGAGGTGGATTTCTCCTGCAGCCTCCAGAGGAGAATTTAACCCGGCTGACACATTGATCTCAGCATGAGCAGAGTAGCCTGATCAGCAGCCTGACTTCTGCCCTGCAGAACTACCGTCTAACAAATGAATGTTGTTTTAACTTGCTAAATTTGCAGCCATTTGTTATGCCGCAGTAGAAAGCAATACACTGTCCCACCAACCTCAACAGCAGTCAGTGCCAAGAAACAGGGTCCTATCCAGTTCCAGAGACAATACTAATCATGCAAGTCAGTACATTAAGGATTGTTATCACCAAGAGGTGGTGTTGGTGTAATTTTTGAGCCTATTCTGTATCTTTTTGGCCTCAGATCCATTGCTCTCTCTACCCTGTCCACTGCTTTGCCTGGGGTTGGAGGAGACCTGACTGACTGCAGGCTGCACTTCCCGGGTTTCCAATTAGTTGGTGTCCACCAGTGGAGGCACTAGTGTCACAATGAAGATGGAGGAAGGGAGAAACCAAGACATCTTTAATCCTCTCTGCATGCACAGGTGGTATCTTAGGCAGCATCTTTTAGATGAGTTCTTCCCAGGATACCTTGAGTGATATTATGCTGTTGCTAATCTCTGCTTACCTCACTATTCTCCAGTTGGACCTCTGCTCTCCCTTCACCTCTGTAACCAATTCCCTCTATTGTAAATGCTAGAAATAATCTGTTTTTCCTGATTGAGACACTTACTGATTCAGTGTTGCTGTCCTATGAAGAATACTTGGCAGATTCTATATCCAGCTATCTAACTTGATTGGAAGATGAAAGGTAAAAGAGATGTCAACCTGAAAATGGAAATACTCTTCTGAAGATTGGTATTATCCACACATAATAAGAACTAAAAATCTATATAAATGGTCAGAGATTAAATAGGTTAGAGAGCAACCAAAGGGCTTATATGCACGCATATTAACATAACCAATGGACACAGACACTGGGGTGGTGGGGGCTTGCCCAGGGTGGAAATGGCTGTGTGTGTGTGTTGGGGGGTGTCAATCAGGGAAAAAGGAGACATATATAAAACTTCAGACAATAAGTTAAAAAATAAATAAAAATTAAAAAAAAGAGAAAAAAACACACTGATATAAAGTTTGTAATACTGAGCTACTTCTGTGTTAAACAATTGGGTAATATAGATATTTTTAGGTTTAATTTTTTTATTCTAGAATTTCCTACTAAAAAAATCAATACATAGAGAGTTGCTGCTAGTAATTGGGTTGTTAATTGCGCGACCATTTGTATATCAACTTGACATACATGTCTTTACTTAGTTAGTTTACTAAAAGTTACTCTAGATAGCAAATTACCATTGTTATACTCACCACCAAATGGCCCGGGCTAGTATGATGTCTGCTACAATTACATAGTTAGTGGTCAGTAAACATCTGTCAAATACATTGTATGTTCCTCAATTTTTAGTACATCACTACTCTGTTCTCATGAACTCTATCATAGTGTGATTACTGTTTCAATGTTTTGCA